CCTAGGGTCTTGGTACACAAGAGCAAATCTTATCTAAGTTTCCCAACTGATCACTGCAGTCTATCCTGGAAAATAGGAGAGGGGATTCACACCTCAAGTCCTCAAAGGAAGGGAGGAACTCACACCTCTCAGACAGCTGGCTATGCAACAATGATGAGGTTACACTCTCATCTGGCCAAATGGCTCTCAAACAACAAGGAGCATCACAATCCTTTAGTAGAATACTTCAGGATCAAAATCTAGATTAATGCAACAAATCAAGTTCCTTGAATAAAGTCACACTAGCTGCATCATTATGTCCAATTTTGTATGGACCCAAAGGGGACAACAGTTATGGCTTTAACCATTAACTAACAACATACAACACAACTAAGCCACTGCTTGATGTCTGCTTTGCTTAAACCACAAAAATTTAAAGAAAATATAATTTTCTTCCGAAGGATCCTTTTTAGGATTTTAAGTTTGGATTACTGTGCATTACAGTGCAATAAAGCTGGTTTATTGAAGACCTCACACGGGGCACCATTTGTGGGTTGTATCAAGTCAACTTTGGTTATATTCTTTAATAATTATACTTAATTATTAATAATATAAATAAAATATCATTAAACTATGTTTAATCTCGTTTTGGGGCACCAACCTGTAATCAGGTAAATATAACCAAAATATCACTCAAATCAGTCTCAAATTAGTTATTTAATTACTAATATTATTAATAATGAATAACTATATTTAATAAATTGAAGGCGTGAAATCCGTACACAAAGCCTTCGCACCCAGCTTATATCACAATGTAAATACACCAGTAACCACAAACAACTGCTCTCTTAAATTATAACAGAATTTATTTAAACAAAGCAACATCAATCCAAAATCAATGAACTTAATTAAACAAATAACTATATCTAAGCAACAAACATTATCAAGCAAAGGCTTGTGGATGAGGTGTGAATGTAGTGTGTGTGGTGTGTGTGTGTGTGTGTGTGTGTGTGTGTGTGTGTGTGTGTGTGTGTGTGTGTGTGTGTGGTGTGTGTGTGTGTGTGTGTGTGTGTGTGTGTGTGTGTGTGTGTGTGTGTGTGTTGTGTGTGTGTGTGTGTGTGTGTGTGTGAGAGAGAGAGAGAGAGAAGAGGGAAGAAGAAAGGGGGGGAGATGGCTTCGTACCCTCGTGGTCGTTCACGATGGCGCAAACCTAACAAAGACCTGGGTGCGTGCACGTGTGGATGAAAGGGAGAGAGAAGGGGGGGAAGATTACTTCGTCCCACGTGGTCGCCCTTCCAATGGCACACACCTAACAAAGGCCTAAATGTGGCCTTAAGGTCTAAAAGAGACTGAGTTCGGCCCTACACAATCTGTGTCTCTGAGGCGTCTGGATAGCCGCGAGTGTATAGATCTCTGTGCGTAATGGCGCGGTGGTGGAGTTGGTCTCCAGATGTACGTTTACACAGGAATATGTGTGTATGTGTGTGCGTAGAAGGGGAAATAAAAGAGAATAAAAGAGAAATGCGTGCCTGAAGAGGCCGGATCACAGTCCGACTCCCGCGCCACAACTCGGAGTAATTCCCTTCATTCACAGAAACAAACCAATAGCCGAATTCAGGTTAATACAGCTTACACTGGCCTTTCTGATCAGAGGAGTAATACCCGGTTATAACGCTGTTACGCTAAACACATATAGGACGCAGCGGTCCGAAACAACAAGAGTTTTAAACAGTTAAAACTCAGGACGCAGGTCCAACAAAGATAAAATTACAGTTTCTGCTTTGATCAACAATTGTTAAAAACACTCTCTAAAGCTAATTCTGCCCAGACCTAATTAAGCCTCACTTGTGAATCGCTTTGTCCGCGATTGGTGAAAGGAAAAGAGTCCGGCGATGGAGCAGATCTTCTGTCCGTCCTGGTGCAGAGGCGTCTGATGGCGGCGAGGGTCCCTTACGGCGAGAGCGGCTTCGTTGGTTCTCCGTCGAGTGGAAAGATGTCCTTTCGTTGCAGGACGGAATAAGACCGTTATCTTTCTGATAATCTGTTATAGTCTGACGCTCTCGAGAAACTGAGATGCGTTCACTGGACAATCCGAGCTCGGAATTTAGAACACTGCCGGCCGCGGATTACCTGCGCGCCAAAACTTAAAACAAAGGAAGATTGTTGCAGGAAACAGGAGATCTTCTTGGGTCTCCGAGCACCGAAGGTCAGCGCGTGAAAGAGAGCGAGCAATGGAAGTCTTGGAGTTTTGTAGCCTGGCCTGCTCCATGGGGTCTACCTCAGGTCCCCTCCAATGAGGAGAGAGAGTTCCGGTCCCCCTTTACTTCACACGTAGGTGTGAAGTACCGCAGGGGATTCTGGATTAAGAGTCCTTTTAGGCCTCTTTGTGATCTCAGTGAATAACTCAAATGAGGCTTTTACAGAGGTGCAGGCCCAAGTCCATTGTTTGACTGTCCTAAGCCTGCGTGGCCCAACAGATATGAATCTATTCTTTGAAACATGCTAATCAGTTTGATAAACATGCACACGTTTGAGTTTCTGTTGTTGTTTGTGTTGTTGTTATTTGTGTTGTTGTTTGTGTTGTTCCTTCTGGGTGTGTGGACCAGGTAATAGTCTTGTCCGGGATCAAACTCTCTCCGACTCTTTTCTTCTCGTCTGTTTGTCAGTTTAACACTTTGATGTCAGAGCTCATTACAGAGTCATGTGAGGCTCAGTCACACACACACACACACACACACACACACACACACACACACACACACACACACACACACACACACACACACACACACACACACACTTTATCTTTTTCACTTCAAAGACGGATGAAAATGTAAGAATAAGATTTAAATGCTTCCTCATTGGCTGACAGTCTAACTTGTAGCCCGCCCCCTCAGGTGTCAGGTGTGGTGCTGCTGTCGGTGGGGTTATGTGGAAGTTCATGTTGGGCCCTACATGTTGTTGATCTCCAGCGCCCCCTCCAACGCTCCCTACGTCCTGACGGGCACCGGGCTCGCCATCATCGTGTTCGGACTGTTTGGCTGCTTCGCCACCTGCAGGGGGCGCCCCTGGATGCTCAGAGTGGTGTGTGTTTGATGTGTGTGTGTGTTCAGATGATCAGAGAGAAGGACGTGTTCAGGTCATTCACTTCTTCCTGTCCTCTCCTCAGTACGCCGTCTTTCTGTCTGCCGTCTTCATGACTGAACTCATCGCTGGAATCTCTGGATTCGTCTTTCGTCACGAGGTCTTTACACGTTTTATAAAACAACATTTTCAAACAAAAACAAACGTTCACACTGATGACACATCCCGTGTTTGTGTTTAGATTAAAGGGACGTTCCTCACCACGTACAGTGAAGCTGTGATGAGATACGACGGACGAGACGACAGGAGTCTGGCTGTGGACGGAGTTCAACGAAGAGTGAGTGTCTCTTTAAAACGTTCTTTTTTTTAATTTAAGCATCGACTGAACAACAACAGCACATGGAGCTCGTTTTAATGAGTCACCTTTTAGATTAGTTAGGATCATTTTCTCAGAGTGTAAACAGTTTTCTGGGTTCCTCAGGGTTTTATTCTCGGTCCTCTACATGTTTGAGAAAATTATTGACCATCAGATATTTTATAGTTATTTTAAATGTGATGAAAAGCAGACAGATTCATATGTCCCTCTTTGTTTCCGTAGTTACAATGCTGTGGAGTCTATAACTACACCAGCTGGTTCAGCAGCGTGTATTTCCCCGTCGGTGGAGTTCCCTCCAGCTGCTGCGTCAGTTACTCCGACTGCAGCTCAGCAGACCTGAAGAACACGACCCTGGCTGCACGTAAAGTCCACAAACAGGTCAGAAACACACACACACACACACACACACACACCTCTCTGTCCGTGGTCATCTGTCTGCAACAACATCCCTGATTGGACGAAGTCCGATGGATGATTCGATGCTTCTGAGTCTTGATTCTTAACCGCGGTTATTTATGAAACTCCTTATTGGATTAAAATCTTTAATTATTTTGTACATAAACAATAAATTAATTAGAATTTAAACAGAAGATAAACAGATTTATCATAACGTACACACATGAATGACCTCACTGTGTCTGCAGGGATGTTATGAGTTGGTGACGTCGTTCATCGAGAGCAACATGGGAATCATCGCTGGAGTGACCTTTGGCATCGCCTTCTCTCAGGTACACACTCAGTACTACACAATAATGCACAACACAACACTTACTTCTTGGTTTGAGTTGAATCAGCTGCAGAATGTCTTTAGCGTAGCTTAGCATAAGGACTGTAGGCAGAGGGAAACTGTGGGGAACTACAGACTGAGGCTAACTCTGCTCTCTCCGTCTCAGCTGATCGGGATGTCACTCGCCTGCTGTTTGTCCCGCTTCATCAACGCCAACCAGTACGAGATGGTGTAACAGGTAACACACACACACACACACACACACACACACACACACACACACACACACACACACTCTTCTTAGAAATCCTGAGAACAAGAATCTTTTCACCAAACTTTAACTTTCTTGTTCTTTTTATTTCATACATTTACAGGAAAGAGACGGGGATGCTCGTCACCATAGAAACCAGGCAACACCCCACACACACACACACACACACACACACACACACACACACACACACACACACACACACAAGCTGTCGAGATTCCTCTTTTTATTTATTTCTGAGGCTTTGAATGATTTCCCTCTTCTGTCTGTGTTTGGTCTCCACGTTGAAGCTGATTGGTCGATTCTTTGTGTTTGAGCTCAGGTCAAATTAAACTACAACATCATTAATATCTGTAACAATAAAAGACTTCAGATGGCCCGCTGCCTTGTGATTCTGTGTTGATTATATTTCTGTCTCCAACTTTGATTTAAAGGTTTTAATGTGAATGTGAGGAGAACAGAGTGACTCTGTGTCAGTACGGCAAGCAGCAGGTCCAAAATGTCTCTCATGAGCCTTAAAGGTCATATATCCTCCTCCTCCTCTCTCAGAGCTCCTCACAACATGTCTGTGAAGCTTCTTGTTCTAAATCCACTCTGATCCTGCGCGCTATTTGAGCCCGAGATTAAAAACGACAGTGATGATTACATACAGCCACATGGGGGCGCTGTTTCATTTACTCATAATGTAAATGATGTTAGTGAGTCTCATTCTGATGGATAATTAACGTCAGCTCAACCAGTTTTCATCTCATTCAACAAAAACTCTCAAAAATGTCTTTATATAATAAACTTTATATTTCAATTTGCATTTTTTTAATCTTTAAAGTCTCAGAGGTGTTTTCATTCTCCCACGAGGTGCCACTCCACATAACACTGTATGTAACTTTATCTTGGTGCTTTCACATCTTGTAATCTTGTTTTCTGAAATATAAATGAGTTCTGTCCTTGGTCAAATGGTTTTTATTTTTTTATTCTGTTTTCTTAAATGTTAAAATGTTTTTGTTTTCTTAAATGTTAAAACGTTTGGGGCGCTGGTGGCGCAGTGGTTGGTGCGCGCGTCCCATGTATGGAAGCTGTGGTCCTCGAAGCGGGTGGCCCGGGTCCGGATCCAGCCTGTGGCTCCTTTCCCGCATGTCGATCCCCACTCTCTCTCCCTGATTTCCACCTCTATCCACTGTCCTATCTCTCCATTAAGGGCACAAGAGCCCAAAAATAAATATTTAAAAAAAAAAAAGTTAAAATATTTTCTTAAATGTTAAAATGTTTTCTTAGATGTTAAAATATTTTCTTAAATGTTAAAATGTTTTCTTAAATGTTAAAATGTTTTCTTAAATGTTAAAATATTTTCTTAAATGTTAAAATGTTTTCTTAAATGTTAAAATATTTTCTTAAATGTTAAAATGTTTTCTTAAATGTTAAAATGTTTTCTTAAATGTAAATTAGTCTCCAGTTATATAAAAGTGTTTCCCACTCTGATAGTAAACACGGCTCACGGCCGTGATCGCCGGCGTGATCGGAGCCACCAAACCTCAGTACGACATCTGGGGCGTGACGGTGAACGTGGCGAGCAGGATGGAGAGCACGGGGGTCAACGGAGGATTCAGGTGAGCTCACCTGTCTGAGGGGGCGTGTCTATGTTAGTATGTTCTAGGTTTTTATTTTTTATTCTGTTTTCTTAAATGTTAAAATGTTTTGGTTTTCTTAAATGTTAAAACGTTTGGGGCGCTGGTGGCGCAGTGGTTGGTGCGCGCGTCCCATGTATGGAAGCTGTGGTCCTCGAAGCGGGTGGCCCGGGTCCGGATCCAGCCTGTGGCTCCTTTCCCGCATGTCGATCCCCACTCTCTCTCCCTGATTTCCACCTCTATCCACTGTCCTATCTCTCCATTAAGGGCACAAGAGCCCAAAAATAAATATTTAAAAAAAAATGTTAAAATATTTTCTTAAATGTTAAAATGTTTTCTTAGATGTTAAAATATTTTCTTAAATGTTAAAATGTTTTCTTAAATGTTAAAATATTTTCTTAAATGTTAAAATGTTTTCTTAAATGTTAAAATGTTTTCTTAAATGTTAAAATATTTTCTTAAATGTTAAAATGTTTTCTTAAATGTTAAAATATTTTCTTAAATGTTAAAATATTTTCTTAAATGTTAAAATGTTTTCTTAAATGTTAAAATGTTTTCTTAAATGTAAATTAGTCTCCAGTTATATAAAAGTGTTTCCCACTCTGATAGTAAACACGGCTCACGGGCCCGTGATCGCCGGCGTGATCGGAGCCACCAAACCTCAGTACGACATCTGGGGCGTGACGGTGAACGTGGCGAGCAGGATGGAGAGCACGGGGGTCAACGGGAGGATTCAGGTGAGCTCACCTGTCTGAGGGGGCGTGTCTATGTTAGTATGTTCTAACACTGACTCCTCCCCCTTCAGGTCCCCGAGACCACCAGCTGCATCCTGATGGAGCGAGGCTTCCTACGGCAGCTCAGAGGGAACATTTACATCAAAGGCATCAGTGAACGCCACGGGAAGGTGATGACATCACACACACACACACACACACACACACACACACACACACACACACACTGCAACTTTTGTCTTTAGGACGTCGTGCCAACTTTACCTCAACAGCTTCTGATCCAATCACCCGATGAAGAGTAACGTTTAGTGGAGTTTTTAAAATGTGTCATTACACGGACTGACCAGCAGGTGGAGCTGTTTCATCAAAGTGACTGAAACTGAGACCAGCGCTACTTAGGAAGATTTCTGAATGATTTCTAAAGATGAACCTGCACGTCGTCTGGATTCAATAAAACGTTTGAACATGGAGAAGAAGAAAGTTTGAAAGGAGTTCACCTGGACTCACAAAGGACGTAAAAGAGAGAAGAAGAAGAAGAAGAAGTGACTTTGAGGTTTCCTCCTGTTCATGTAAACATCATCTCATCTCCTCCACTGGATAAAAAGAAGGTTTTACTGTAAACCTGAAAACAGGTTGAGATTTTCCTGCAGTACTTAAACGCATCACAGCCATGACTTTTCCCTTTCTAGTTTCCTTTAGTGAATAAAACACTTCAATGTTTGTCTGAACATTATCGTCTTCTGTTTTTACTCTGCATGCTTTTATTTTGAAAGTTCTGACAACGTAATAAAACACTCTTTATCATTTTGAAATGTTGTAAACGTTGCAGATTGGAAGCTTCAGAGCGGAGATGTTCAGAGTTCCTGCAGCTCTTAAACGCCACGCTGACGCCGCCCGACTCTCTGCGGGTTAATAATCACTCGTCTGATAAAAACCGTCTGCACATGTTTCACTCTTTTCTCTTCTCACTCATTTAGAGGAGGCGGAGCTTATGACCAGGGTCAGAGTTCACGTCAGTAAAGGTTCATATTTTGTCTTCTTTGGTTCTTGACGTCCATCTTTTTCTCAGACGAACAGAGTCCGTGTAGTTGCCGTTGCCATCGTAGTTGTTGCCATGGTAACGTGAATTCTTTGCTCTTAAACCACCGCGTCTCTCAGAACTGACCCGTTGACCCTCGTTGACCCCCGTTGACCCCGCTGACCTGGACTCTGAAGCCGGAGTGTTAATGTGACTGAGGCAGCAGAGAGAAGGTTCTGGATCAGTCTGACCCTAACCCTCTGATTGATTCTGAGTGAGACAAGAAACCACGTGAAGGGCGAGTGACCAACACAAATCAGAGAGAGAGAGAGAGAGAGAGAGAGAGAGAGAGAGAGAGAGAGAGAGAGAGAGAGAGAGAGAGAGAGAGAGAGAGAGAGAGAGAGAGAGAGAGAGAGAGAGAGGTCTCCTGGTTTGAATCCCCGTCCTTCAGGAGTCTCTCTGTGTGGAGGTTCCTGGTTTGAATCCCCGTCCTTCAGGAGTCTCTCTGTGAGGAGGTTCCTGGTTTGAATCCCCGTCCTTCAGGAGTCTCTCTGTGTGGAGGTTCCTGGTTTGAATCCCCGTCCTTCAGGAGTCTCTCTGTGAGGAGGTTCCTGGTTTGAATCCCCGTCCTTCAGGAGTCTCTCTGTGTGGAGGTTCCTGGTTTGAATCCCGTCCTTCAGGAGTCTCTCTGTGAGGAGGTTCCTGGTTTGAATCCCATCCTTCAGGAGTCTCTCTGTGTGGAGGTTCCTGGTTTGAATCCCCGTCCTTCAGGAGTCTCTCTGTGAGGAGGTTCCTGGTTTGAATCCCCGTCCTTCAGGAGTCTCTCTGTGTGGAGGTTCCTGGTTTGAATCCCCGTCCTTCAGGAGTCTCTCTGTGAGGAGGTTCCTGGTTTGAATCCCCGTCCTTCAGGAGTCTCTCTGTGTGGAGGTTCCTGGTTTGAATCCCAGTCCTTCAGGAGTCTCTCTGTGTGGAGGTTCCTGGTTTGAATCCCCGTCCTTCAGGAGTCTCTCTGTGAGGAGGTTCCTGGTTTGAATCCCCGTCATTCAGGAGTCTCTCTGTGTGGAGGTTCCTGGTTTGAATCCCCGTCCTTCAGGAGTCTCTCTGTGAGGAGGTTCCTGGTTTGAATCCCCGTCATTCAGGAGTCTCTCTGTGTGGAGGTTCCTGGTTTGAATCCCCGTCCTTCAGGAGTTTCTCTGTGAGGAGTCTGCATGTTCTCCTCGTTCATGTGTGGGTTCTCTCCTGGTTCTCCGTCTTCCTCTCACAGTCCAAAGACATGCTCGTTAGGTTAACTGTTGACTCTAGATTGTCTGTAGGTGTGAATGTGAGTGTGTCTGGTTGTCTGTCTCTAAATGTCAGCTCTGTGATTGGCCTCTCACCCGATGACAGCTGGGATAGGCTCCGCCCCCCAGGACCCTGAAAAGGAAAGGTGTAGATGATGGATGGAATTTAATTAATCAAATTTAATTTAAATTAAATGTGATTACAAATTGTTACAAATGCTAAATGTTAATTAATAACTGATTAATTAATTTGATCTTTCTGACACTTTTTAATGTTTTATTCTGGAACAGTTTCATGTTTTCATGATAAATATTTGATAACTGTATGTAGATCATTTTATTTTGATATTATTATTATTTTAATGAAGATGATATTAATCAGTGAACTGGACAGAGTATGAGTATTAAAGTTTCACTTGAACCTCACTGAGTGGCTTTGAGAATGGCCTCTGTGAATAATTGGCATGAAGGGGTCGTGGCCACAGTTTTATCTGGGCTCAAAGGTCACGCAGGGTACTGCGTGTCAGTCTTTCTGTATGAAAAAGCAACAACACTTACATTCTACAGGGAAAGAGGAGAAGAACACGCTGTTCCAGACTCGGTTAGAAAATAAACGGAGTTTAAATGAATGATGATTTTATCGAATAATAGCGCGTGACCGAGGAAACCTGTGGGTGATTTGGGAGCACCTGAACGCACCTTTACATTCGGCTCAGGTGAGGCGGTTTGAGCTGAGGGTTTTCACGGGAGGAGGAGCAGTTTGTCTCTACGGGTCCCTGAAGGACACACCTCTCTGCGCAGAGTCCGGGTCATTAGGGACCGGCACCGTTCAGAGGACACAGAGGACCGAAGACATGGGGGGCACGGATGGGACCAAAGCCGAAGGCGAGACCCGCCCCGGGTCTGGGTCTGGGTCCGGATCTGGGTCTGACCAACTCATCTTGTTCGTTAACGGGAAGAAGGTAAAAGATATTTAATATTCTGTTTAAATGACGTATCAGTGAGTTACAGACTCTGCACTGCTTTCAGCTTCTGTTTCAATCACCTCAGCTCATTATGAGTGATTACATTCATATCTGAGTCTCCTGTTTTATTAATAATAATAATAATAATAATAATAATAATAATAATAATAATAACTAAACTGATGTGTAAACACACAGCTCTGGTGCAGTGAGAGAGGAATGTGTGGAATAATCAGACATCATGAACAGTCAGGGAGCGTGAAGAACTTCACATGTGATGATCCAAAAGTGAGAATGCGGAACAAAATGTGGATTCTGTCTCAATTCTGCTTCCAGTGTTGTGACACAAGTGTGTGTGTGTGTGTGTGTGTGTGTGTGTGTAACGAACTTTTATATTTTTTTAATGTGTGTTTCAGATTGTGGAGAGAAATGCAGATCCTGAGATGACCCTGCTGACGTACCTGAGGAGGAAATGTATGCACACACACACACACACACACACAGACACACACAGACACACACAGACAGACACACACACACACACACACACACACACACACACACACACACACACACACACACACACACACACACACACTCACACTCACACTCACACACACACACTCACACTCACACACTCACACTCACACACACACACACACAACACACACACACACACACACTTGTGTCACAACACTGGAAGCAGAATTGAGACAGGACAGAGTCAGAGAGATTTTTCTGCTCAGTCAGCAGTAAAGAAATCTCCTCTGTGGTTAAAGCTGGCGTTTCTTAAACGAGCGACGGAGAGGTCAGCTGATCAAAGTCCAAAACAACACTGACAGTCCAGGTTGAACGAGCTCCAGGGTCCTGGATCCAAATCAAGGACTTTTACTAAGGTATGGGTTAGGGTTAGTGAAATGCTAAATGAAATGCTGCCCTCTGATTGGCTGAGTGGAAACCAGATGCAGCATGAAAGGTCAGAGCAGCTGGTCGAGTGTTTTACAGAAAGCGTGAAGATGAAGATCGCTGTCAGTGATCCCGTGACTTCACACATGTACTGTGTGTGTGTGTGTGTGTGTGTGTGTGTGTGTGTGTGTTCAGTGGGTTTAACAGGAACTAAGCTGGGCTGTGCGGAGGGCGGCTGTGGAGCGTGCACCGTCATGTTGTCCAGATACCAAACACACACTCAGCAGCTGCTGTATCCTCAAAGCGTGTGTGTGTGTGTGTGTGTGTGTGTGTGTGTGTGTGTGTGTGTGTGTGTGTGTGTGTGTGTGGTGTGTGTGTGTGTTGTGTGTGTGTGTGTGTGTGTGTGTGTGTGTGTGTGTGTGTGTGTGTGTGTGTGTGTGTGTGTGTGTGTGTGTGTGTGTGTGTGTGCTCTCCTCTGATGAACTTTCTGTGAGCGGTCTAAAAGTCTTTAACTCCCGTCGAGTCATTACGCCGTGAACGCCTGTCTCGCCCCCCTCTGCTCACTGCACCTGGTTGCCGTGACGACTGTGGAGGGCATCGGCAGCGTGGCGAGAGAATTACATCCTGTTCAGGTAAAACACAAACTAACCTCAACTAAAGTGTTTTCACACAAAGCTTTAATATATGTTTGTCCACTAGAGGGAGAAAGACAACACCTGACGTAGACATGTGGACAGGTTGTAGGTAGTTCTTCTTCAGGTGTAACTCTTTGTGTTGTTCAGGAGCGGATCGCGATGGCTCACGGCTCTCAATGTGGTTTCTGTACCCCGGGGATCGTCATGTCCATGTACGCTCTGCTGAGGAACAACCCCAAACCAAAGATGGCCGACGTGGAGGAGGCCTTCCACGGTACTGACACAGATAGATCATACATTTGGTGATGGGACTGAAAGTGATGATTGACCTCTCATATGTGACAGAAAAGGATCATACAGAATAACATTTGGTCATTTCTCCAGGTAATCTTTGTCGTTGCACTGGATACAGACCTATCCTGGAGGGATACAAGACGTTCACTGTGGTGAGAAACACACGTTACCTTACACCTGTTAATGTGGATATATTCAGCGGTTCATGAATTAAACATCAAAGTATGACATTGTCTGAATGTCCACAGTAACCTGCTCTGTTCTTCCTCCAGGACGGCGGCTGCTGCGGCGGCCGGGACGGGAGAACGGCTGCTGTATGACCAATGGGAACGCAGCTGAGAAAAGCTCAAAGGAAGACAGCGATGTAAGTCTGACTGTGTGTGGACTGATTTCAAAGTAAGGATGTTCCTCTGCAGTTCAACGGAAATATAAATACAAACTTATTGAAGAGTCTGAAGGTTCCAAAACTCTCAGAAAACAGTCACATTTCACAATTTATTTAAGGCTGTTTGAGTGTTTGCATGATGTAATTGGATTAGTTGAGTGTGGCTAATGTTAGCAGTGTTAGCACCTCCAGCCTTCAGACCTCCCTGCAGGTTAACGTCCTCGTGTCTGAGCTGAATGTGGTCA